CATTTCTCTTGTTTTATATATTGTAATTGCAAGTTAAGCCTGACGTGAGCGAATTTTATTAGATCTGTTCTATTTAATGATTTATATTCCATACATATATTTTCTGTAATACTTCCTTTTATAGTATTTAAAAAAATATTTTAAGCACAATAAGTTTCAAAGAAAATTTTAGATTTGCTTGATGCTCTTTTTACTTCCTGTTTTTTGTTTGGTCAGGGTATTCCACCTTTGGGCGCCTGAGGCGTGGTTACTGGATTACGAGAAAAATTATTTCGGAGAGGAGATCCAGGGGATCTATTTTGGCTGTTTCGGTTGGAATAGTAATAATCGATATGATGCTGAATGAAAAAATTATGTGAAAATTGAAATATTTGATCCATCAAGAACCATCATCAAGAAATCTTTACCTTGAGAAAGTGTGTCTCGACTATTAATCTTCTTACAAGATTGAACTCGGAAAGTTCTTGGGCAAGCTTAATCTCGCAAAGCTGAAAGAAACGGTATATACCGTCGTACTCTAGATCCATCATGCACAAGATGAGGTATCCCTCTGTTTTTATAAGAAAATTGTTAAAAAATGAAGCGCCAAAAAATGGAAAAAAGTAGACATACCACAAACGTGAGCACCAAATGTTTTAGTTCTGGTTTCGGTTCCGCGCGATGATATTATACCTCCTTGACAGAGATTATACCCCCCCCCCCCCATTATTACTATTTCTTGTGATTGAAAAATGTTTCGCTTCAATAAAACATGATTCTTCATGTTCGCCTTTTTCAATAATTCGACAAACAACCATATATGGTTTTTTTCCCTGAGTTCGTCCATAGATCATACGATGCTCTTTAGATGATGGGCTTTGACCGTTTGCCCTTATTATAACAACGTAAAGACAAGGAACGATTAGTAGACTAATACTACCAAAAATTTCAAAAAAAAATATGTATATTTGCTCACCATATGACCTCATAGTTCGAGTCTCGAAACGTTTCCTTAAACGTATCTTTCTTTTCGTGGTTTATAAAGATGCATTCTTTCATAGCTGTGAAGAAAGATCAGATTGAAAATCATTAGTAGAAATGGCAGAAAGATTAGGTAAAGGTGAAATAAAAAATCCTTACAATGATCGGGTGACAGCCTGTGTAGTTTCGAATAATCTTCTTTCTTCATCCGAATATATCACTTCTTCACGGTACTTTCCCCAGGTTTCGTAGAACTTGGAACGGAGTTCATCTATGTCGTTTATGACCTATTTTTGATGTGAAAGGTGAAATTATTGAAATCTGCGTAACATTAGGTGATTTAGCTCCCGTTACCTTTTCGTATTCGTCCATAATGTCGCAGAAGAAATTGGGTAGATTCGGCTGGCTTTGCTGACGAACCGAGGCGCGCCAGTTGTGTTCATTTATAAAAGATAAGTATGACGGCCGTTCCATCTTTGATAAATTAATAAGCATGATATGATGGAGTGATCTGTAATTTGAAAATTTCGTTATGTTCCGATTTAATCATTGACCCGACTAAGTTATACTTACAAGATTGCTTCGCAATCTGACGAGAATCGGAAAATTCCAGTCTGTCAATGTTTGTTATTTGATACTGACGGAAGGCATTTGAAACATTATATTGTTTGATAAACCACTAAAACGAGTAAAATAAACACAATATTTAATACAAGTTCTTTAAAATAGATGCGATTGAATAAATTCAGAATGGTGAACTTGCATCCTTTTGCGAAATACGGTCACGGATTTCCCGTCGTGTATCGAGATACATATCACGTAATACGATATTGTCAATGATATCCTCATCATGTGTATTGATCAAGGTCTCTTTTTTTTCATTTGGAGTTCTTAAGAAAAAAAAATACAGAATGAAATGAAATATTGCATGTTCATTACTCAAAGAACATAATAGTACCCACAATTCTGTTTCAATCGGGTTGTAGACCGTTTCTTTTCGTTCTGTAAACATTCGGTCAGTGATCAATATAGTACCCTCAACGATTTCATTAGCCTCATTGATAGATCGGATATTCGAAACAGATTGTCTTTTTTTCTCGGGTATAACGCTCGTCGGAGTTAGCATCTTCTGAGGACTTATGTTTCAAGATTTGATTTGGTGCGTAATAAAAGTTAGTATAAACCAAATTAGTACAGCAAGGAGGATAATGTAAGAACCTACATTTTCTTGATATTTTCTTTTCTTGGACATATCTCTCTCTAATCCAGCAAAAAAGGTCCCACCGTTAGTGGTCCCGCTTACATTCCCATGGTTGGTCTCAATGTGAACTGATAGTGTACACTTTTTACGATTACACTCTTCCCTCCATGTTCTTGCTTCCCGACGGTCAAGCCGAGTACCCTAGCATAGAAGAATTGAAAATTAGTAATATTTTTGACCAACGCCTTCACAATTCTTC